TGCGCGGCCATGCGTTTCTGGGGCAAAATAAGTTTCATTATTTGCTTAATTAGTGGTCCGTAGTGTAATAGTTTGTTTGCGTCAAACTAGAGTGCATCCTCAGATGTATGTTGATGCTTGCTCATTTGCCAAATGTGCTGGTGTAGCGTACACGCCCGCAACCGCTCACACGCTCATAGTTTCCAGATCGTTTGGCTTCCATCGACGCGCGATCCCGACATCCCTGCCCGCCAGCGTCGGCATCCTCACCCACCGCACCAGCCCGCACCCGCACCCGCACCCTTGTAGACAACATTCCCTTCCCGCACCCGCAGCCGCAAGGGTGGTGATGGCCGCGAGGATGATTATTGTCATAATTATGGTGACGGCAGCAGCGATGATTAGGCGGGCGTGATGGATTTTTGTTAGTCTTGGCCGTGCTGGCGTTGGTCTTCGCCAGTGGGATCCTTGATTTGCGCTCTGCCAGATTGCAAGTTGCCCCCCCTGTAGAATGGGGCACTGCTGGGACACAGGAAAGTTGGCGGCAAAACTTGTGTTCGTCCTTTGTGGCGGGCGGGGGTTGAGCAGGAAACCGCCCGACCATCCACGCACCCCAACGGGGTGCGTAGCGGACGGAGGTCATTCACACACGTTTGTGGAGGGCCGATTTGTCTTTCTTGGTCACATCCCTTGGCGGCGCCCCCGGCGCTGCTGCGGGCGTGCTTCGCGCAGCGTTGAGCGGAGGTTGGAGGGCGACGACTTGCTCGGTCGCGGCGCTACCGCCCCCTCGCGAGCGCGTGACGGATGGGGCAGGCCGTCTTCGAGAAGTACATGAACCACAGCGACTCCACGACCAGGGAGTGCGCGCCGAGAAAAAGGATTAGGAGGAGGAGGAGGAGGAGGAGGAGCAAGAGGAAGAGGAGGAGGAGGTGGAGGAGTAGTAGGAGGAGGAGGAGCAGGAGGAGGAGGAGGAGGAGGAGGAGGAGGAGGAGGAGGAGGAGGAGGAGGACCAGCTCTAGGAGCAAAAGCAGGAGCAGGTGCAGGAGGAGGCGGAGAAGGGCTGGCCTCGTTTCATCGCTGTGAAGAGATCATGGTACACCCGTTGGTTGCCATGTTTGGCCTCCTGGGGCCCACGCGAGGCCCCCAGGCCGTCAAAACGACGGCTCGGGAGGAAAGACGGGTCCATCAGCAAGATCCAGACAGCCAGGGGTTAACGCCTCCTCCTCCTCCTCCTCCTCCTCCTCCTCCTCCTCCTCCTCCTCCCCCTCCCCCATCCTCCCCCTCCTCCTCCTCCTCCCCTTCCTCATCCTTCTCCTCCTCTTCCTCTTCCTTGCTACACACATCATATTGACGAAGGCGTGTGGGGGAGGAGGGAGGCCTCTCGAGACGTTGCAGCAGCACGGGCCTGCGAGAGCCGCCCCGTCAAGAGGCTGGCCACAGAGGTGCAACACAGCAGAGCCATCTGCAGCTTCGAGCATCCCGAGGCGTACGCGCGCCCCGCTTTGACTGGACTCGCCGCTGGCGCGCTCCCCCGCGGCCGCTGACTAAAAAGTGTCCCCAGGCATGGTACCACATGCGGGCCCCGGCCACGGTGGCTTTCAAGGGAGCCTGCCGAGTCGTGCTCGGGTGCGCTGTGCGGACCCTGCCGCTGGAGCCCTCGGTGGAGCTCCCCACGGGGCCACGAAACGCGTGTGAGGGGTGTGCCCGAGTCGGGTGCGGGTACGCCATGCTGACCCTGTCGTTGAGGACTTCGGTGGAATTTCTTATGGTGCCACGAGGCGTGTGAGCGGAGTGCCGAGCCGATTGCGGGTGCGCCATACTGACCCTGCCGCTGAGGACTTCGCTGGAACGTCTCATGGTGCCACGAAGCGTGTGAGCGGACTGCCGAATCGATTGCGGGTGCGCCATGCGGGCGTTGCTGCCCGGGCCTTCGATGGAGCTCTATGTGGGGCCGCGAAAATCAGCATGCCGGATTAGGTGCGGGTGCGCCATGCAGTCCGTGCCGCCCTTGCCGCCGTGACTTTAGGGACCGCGAAACTTTGAGGTGGTGTTCCGAGTCGGGTGCGAGTGCGCCTTGTGGGCGCTGCCGCTGGAGTTTCCGGTGGAGTTCGCCATGGGGCCACGCAACTTGGAAGAAGGCGTGTGCAGAGTTGGTCGCGGGTGCGCCATGGGGACCCTGCCGCTGGGGCCTTCGGTGGAGCTCCCGCTGGTACGCCCAGCGGGCGCTGCTGCTGGAGCCGTTTGTGGAGTTCACCGGAGGGCCACGGAACTTCTAAGGTGTGTGCCAAACGGGTCCCGGGTGCGTCATGTTGGCTTTGTCGCTTGGGTCTTTCGATGGAGTTCCTTATGCGGACACACGAACACGTGATGGGTGTGCCGACTCGAGCGCGGGTGCGCCATGCGGGCGTTGCCGCTGGAGTTGTCGGTGGACTTCCGCTGGTGCCGCGAAACGTCTGAGCGGAGAGCGAGTCGTGTGCGGGTGCGCCACAGTCGGATGCGGGTGCGTCATGCGGGCGCTGCCGCTGGAGCTTTCGCTGGAGCTCCCTACGGGGCCACGAAGTGTGTGAGTGGTGTGCCGAATCAGGAATCAGGTGCATGTCTGCCGGACCACGTCGCTGGGTCGTGGGAGGGGTGTGCCGAATCGGGGTACGGGTCCGCCATGCGGACCCTGCCGCTTGGACCTTCAGTGAAGCCCATTATGGGGCCACGGAGCGTGTGAGGGATGTGCGGAGTCGGGTGCGGGTGCGCCACGCGGACTTTGCACCCGGGGATTTCGATGGAGCTCTTTATGCGGACACGATCACGTGAGGAGTGTGCCGAATCGGGTGCGGTTGCGCCATGCGGGAGTTGCCGCTGGAGCTTTCGGTGGAGTTCCTACGGGGCCACGAACCGTGTGATCTGTGTGTGTGAGTGTGCAGAATCGGGCACGGATGCGGCATGCGGACCCTGCCGCTGGGGCCTTCGGTGGAGCTCTCTATTGGGCCACGAAGCGTGTGCGGGGTGTGCCGCTTCGGGCGCGGTTACGCCATGCGGACCCCGCCGCTCGGGCCTTCGATGGAGGTCCTCATGGGGCCACGTAGCGTAGGAGCGCTGTGCCACATCGGGTGCGGGTGCGCCACTCGGACCGTGTCGCTGGGGCCTGTGGACGCTTGAAGCATGTTGTCCGCTCCCATCTTCCCCCCCCCCCCCCCGAAAAAAAAAGGCACGGCGCGTGTGAGGGGTGCTCCGAGTCGGGTGCGGGTACGCCATGCGTACATTGCCGCTGGGGCCTTCGGAGGAGACCTGTCTGAGGCCAAGACACGTGTGAGGGGTGTGCCGGATCGGGCGCGGGTACGCCATGCGGACCTTGCCGCCGGGACCTTCGATGGAGTTTCTTGTGGAGCCCCGAATCCTGTGAGGGAATAGTATGTGAATCGCATTGTGGTTAAGCTGATGCGGATGACGTCCACAACGTTGACGACGGTCATATTGATGATGTTGGTGGTAGTGATGATGGTAAGGATAAGTATGTTGTTGATGATGTTGATGGTGATCATGCTGATGCTGATAATCATAATGGTGATGATGATGGTGATGCAGGCGACGAGGATGATGATGACGACAATGATGTTGATGCTGATGGCGTTGATGCTGATGGTGAGGATGGTGACGGTCATGATGATGATAATGATGATGATGATGATGATGATGATGATGATGATGATGATGATGATGATGATGATGATGATGATGATGATGATGATGATGATGATGATGATAATGTTGATGATGATGATGATGATGATGATGATGATGATGTTGATGGTGATGGTGATGATGGTGAAGATCATGCTGATCGTGATGACGTGCTTGATCATGATGCTGTTTATAATGAGTGCATCGGAACATGAACATGACCATTGTCAGAATGCGGAGGGTAGGTGCGGGGACGGGAGGAGGAGGGTTCTACGAGGAAGGAGGGAGCCTTGCGCTGCCCGTTCAAAAAACGAAGACCCAGCACACAGGAGGGCTGGACATGAAGAAGTGAATGCCGACCTCGACGATGTGTCGTGGCCTGAAGGGCGACACCTGCCCCAGCTGGCGCCCAGAGGAGGGCCAGAGGTCCTCGTCTCCCTCCCCCCTTGTCTCCCTCGCCCCGAGGGCGGGCCCGCGGGGGACGCGCCGCGCCGAAGGAGGCAGCGACGGCACGGTCACTCAGAGGGCGGTGGACCGGATTCTGGCCTCGTGCCGGTGTCTCCCTTCCTTCCTTCCTTCCGCCCTCTCCTCCTCCTTCATTCCTCCCTTCCTTCCTTCCTTCCTCCTTCCTCCTCCTCCTTCCTCTCTTCCTTCCTTCCTCTCTTCCTCCTCTCTTCCTTCCTTCCTCCTCCTTCCTTCCTCCTCCTTCCTCCTCCTCCTCCTCCTCCTTCCTTCCTTCCTTCCTCTCTTCCTTCCTTCCTCCTCCTTCCTCTCCTCCTTCATTCCTCCCCTCCCTTCCTTCCTTCCTTCCTTCCCCTCCTCCCATTCCTCCTGGGCGTCTCGCCGCCCGGGGCTCCCAGCGGGGCTTCTGCGCAGCTGTCCTGGCGGTGGCGCCGGGGCGACGCTCAAGCTCCACGTCATCTCTCTCTCTCTCTCTGCTGTTTCCTTCCAGCTCTGTCGAGAAGGCTGCGTTCTGTCAGTTCTGTTCTTCCAGCTCTTCTCTTTCAGTTTCTGTCCCCTCTGGCACGTTCTCCATCGGCTGCGCCTCGCGGAGGGCCTCCTCGTGGAGCCCGGAATCGGCACGAACGGCCGACTGAGGCAGGCAAGACAGCCCGAGCAGCAACCAGAGGCGTGACGGGGAACCCTCCTGTGAACGAGCTGTTGGTGACGACTGTCGTGTTGCCGCCGAGGTCTCCTGCTCTCCTGTGCAGGGCACGCCGTTCTTGCCCGTGTAGCTGCTGCTGCTGTAGCGGCCGCCTCTGACGCTTCGGGCCCCTGAGACCCAACGGCTTGCCTAAGAGAAAGGAAGCCTCCTGAGCAACTTCTGGGCCTTCGAGGCCCCCCTTTCGTGGCGTTGGCCGGACGCGGCTCACACAGCGGGTCAGGATGGCCTCCCCGAGGGATCTTGGTGCTGCTCTCCGTGCGGATTCTGGTGGGGGGGGAGGGGAGGTGGAGGAAGAAGGTCGAGAAATCGAGGATGGCGGAGGTGGAGGAGGGTGGAGGGGATGAAGGATATGAGGAAGAGGAGAAGGAGAAGGAGAAGGAGGAGGAGGAGGAGGAGGAGGAGAATGTGGAGGTGGAGGAGGATCGAGGGGACGAAGAGGGTGAGGAGCATAAATATGTAGAGGAGGAGGAGTAGGGGAGCAGGAGGAGGAGGAGAAGGATGCGCGACCAGCGTTTGGAGGGGGGCAGTGGTAAAAAGATGGCAGCCCTCATAGATTTAGCAGGAGGAAGAGAACAAGGAGGAGGGGAAGAACGAGAGGCGCGATACAGATGAAGGGATGTGGATAAGGAGAACGTGAATGAGGATGATGAGGATGCGTAGCAGCATCAGAACAGAGTCAATCTGGGGCAGGAAAGTGTGGTTGGAGGACTAGGAGGAGGAGGAGGCAGGTGGGTCGTGAAGTGAGCAGTATCAGATGAAGAGGGGAAGAGGAGGAGGACGGAAGTATATTAGATTAGACGATGCGCTGCGCGCGACTTCTTCAGATACATGAGCACATGCATCTCCCTGGCCAAACTTAGTGTGCCTTGGGGCTCCTCCCTTCTCGAGCGCCTTCACGTATTGCAGGCCCGTCCTGGCGGGGGGCCTGGCATTCCTGCACAAGTGTCCCGCTCTTCATGTAGTGGTCGGTTCCTGGGCCACCACACCGGGAGCAGGCCCACATCAGTTCCTTTCGAGAACCCGCACCCGCCTGCCACCACCCCACCAGGGATCGGCCTAAGCAGTGTCTTGGCGATGTCGTGGGCCGTTCTCGTTTTGACTGCGTTCTGCAGCAGGGGCGGACAGAGGACAACACCATGGAGAACGAAGACATCACGAACACGACACACACACACACACACACACACATTCACACACACACACACACGGATGACAGGCCGCGCCACGAGGTGCCGCTGTGGTTGTCCGCAGGGCAGACGACAGCGGGAATGGTGCGGGGTAAGACCATCGGCTGGCAGCGCGCCCTGGCCCGCGGGATTGAGCCGGCACGGGGCCGCGCGGGCGTGTGCTTTTGCCCCCTCGCCCTCTTTTTCCCTCCTCCCCCTCGTCTTTGCCGCCGTCGTCGTCTTTTCGTCCTTTCCCTCCTCTCGCCGCTGGGCTCCGTTGCGATGGTAAAAAAGTGCGGGGTAGCACCGCGTTGATTGAGCCCTGCACCTCATCGTGTGCGACGGCTGTGCGGAGAGGTGGCCTCGCACGGGCCCAGCTCCCGCACCGCAGGGCCCTCGAGGCTACCTTGCTTGCAGCACCCTGGGTCCGCCTGGGCGGTGCGGTGCAGCAGTGACGACGTTGCCAACGACGGCGACGCCTGGACCTGGCCCCTCCAAGCCAGGTGCGGCGAGTCAAACAGGGCGCAGGGGAGGTCGAGCTTCGGTTTCGCCTCGGCCAGGGAAGCCTGCAGGTCTCTCCCTGGTCGACGTGCTGGCATAAGAGCCGACATCGCAACCGATCTCCTGCGAATGTGTCTGGCCTCGACCTCAAGCTCCTTCGAAGCTTCGGCTTGGCCAGAGGGGTCCTGAGCGCTGGGGGCAAACTTTGCAGCTAGCTTGTCCGCCAAACGATGACCTTACAGAGCGCTTGCATACAGCGGACGCTCTGGCAAAATCTTCGTCTGAACCTTGATTCTCAACGTTGATCTGGTCGATGTCCTCACATACACCTTCGTAACCTGTCACCGCATATCGTTGTTGGCCTTGGGCTTCCATGTAGCATTGGACCTCAGTCTGAAAAGGCCTCGCTGTACATACGAATTGACCGTTACGAATATGAGGCTCTTGAAAGATGGGGCAAGCATGGCTTCTTTGAGCTCAGAGGAGGACAAGGAGGAGGAGGAGGAGGAGGAAGAGGAGAAGAAGGAGGTGGAGGAACACGAATAGGCAGGGGAGGAGTAGGGGAAGGAGGGAGGGCGGGGAGCACGAGCAGGGAGTGACAAGGATAATTAGGCCGGATATGAGAGGGCGAGGAGCATGGGGAGGAAACCGAGGAGGGGGTTGGACGATGAGGGGAAGGACTTACACATGAAGGACGAGGAGGGATGCTGATGTTCGAAGAGGAGGAGGAGGAGGAGGAGGAGGAGGAGGAGGAGGAGGAGGAGGAGGAATACGACGATGAGGAGAATGAGGAGGATCACGATGCGGGAAGATGACGGAGAGATGGGGAGGGGACGATGGAAGACGAAGTAGGATCGGCAGAAGGGACATGCTTTCAGGCGAAAGTAGAGGTCCATGCAGTGGCGGAGGAGGTCTTGACAACTCCAGGATGCGCCCCTGCAGACCAAAGTGTGGAGGCAGATCCAGCCGTGGCCACGAGGGTGCCACCGACGGCCCCCAAGCATCCATCAGACCCCGTCGACCCCCGGGCAGCATCCGATCCGATTTTTTGTCCGCCCTCCGGCCCAGAGCCCTGGACCCCTTCCCGGGGGGCAGCCTTTTGTGCCCCAGCTCCATTTTTGGGCGGTCCTCGGGCGCCTTGACGGGGCCCAGAGCCATAAGTCCAGGAACCCTGGTCCGCACCGACCGAAAATCACACCGCCCGGGACCTGGGCCGCCCACGGCGACGAGGAGCGGCACGAGGGCCCGCGCAGGACCGCATCTCCTTCGAGGCCAAGCTGCGCGCCGCGCGCGCCGGCGTGCCCCAGCTCCCCAGCCCCACGGGCGCCGCAGGCCCTCCGCGGCCAGCTCCTCTCGCGCGCGCGCGCCCGTGGCGCCTCGGCGGCGCAGCGGCGGGCCCGAGGCGCGCTGGGGCGCCCCGGCGGCCCGGGCGGCGCCTCGGCCGCGCCGAGGCGTCGCCGGCCCAGGCGCGGCCGAGGCACGGCCGAGGCGCGGCCGAGGCGCCGCCCGGGCCGCGGGGGGCGCCCTGGTGCACGTCGGGCCCTCCGCGGCGCCTCGGCGCCGCCCGAGGCGTCGCGACCCGGGCCTCCGGCGTGCTTCAGCCGCCGTGGCCCGCCGCGCAGCGCACGGAGCCGTCCACGGCCTTTTGGTTCCGCCCCGGTGGCCCCCGGCGCGAGCACGGCGGACAGCGCAAACGCTTGGGCGACGGCATGTGTCGCCGCGCCGTCTGCTCTGGCGCGCGGTCTTGCGCCGTGGGGCCACTGGGGCAATCGCCGCCCCGGGCGCGGTGGTTTTCTTTTCCGTGGGGTCTGCCGCGTGGCGGCATCGTCTGCTGGGGGAGCGGCGTGCAGGGTTTGCCCTGGGTTTGCCGTGGTGCCAGCGTGGTTCGGGCCGGGCGAAAGGGGGGGATTGGGATAGGGGGGGTACGAAATTTGCTGCATGCAGCTGATGTCGGCCTCACCGAGGGGCCCATTCCTCGATACATAGTCGCCTCCGGCGCCGGGAGGCGCCGGGAAAATCAGCTACGTGAGCTGATTCTCAAACCCCCCCTTTGCTATCCCCCCCGGTTCGCCCGACCCGAGTGGTCACTTGGGCGCGCTCAAGACAAACAGCGCGGCGACATGTCACAATTGATACGAACTACCACTTGGGGAGTCACCAAGCACTGTTTGGACTTAAGCTTGTGACCAGTTGCTATGGGACAGCTGGGAGCACGCCTTCCTCCACCACATTCGGTAAACGAGCCCCGGCCTACCTGCGCTGCTCCTCAGGTGCCCGCTGGCCAGCAGGCTGGCGGACTCGGCCCGCTCCACGCACCCCTGCGGCCTCCCTCTTCTGTCTCCCGCTGATTTCTGAGCTCGCGCGCCAGCGCCGCCGCTTATGCTGCGGACGCGGTGTGCGTTCGTCACCGCTGCGACGAAGCAGTATCACTGATCGAGGACGCCTACGGCGAATCGCCGCCGCTCCCTGCCTCTCGGCAGCGACTTTGAGCTATGTGGCCAAACGTTGGGGCAAAGGTTGGCCCAGCTATTGGAATCTACCTTCTGTGTTTCCCGAGCCATGGTGGAACCCCTTGGAGAAACATTTGGGGAGGGAAGAGCGGAGGAATGGGAGGGGGAGGAGGCATCTTCGGTTCATCTTGGGCCGCTTTGGAGCAAGGTTAGCTTGTTTCAGGCAATACGGGAATCATTGTGGCTTTCTTGGAGGCCATCTTGGGCCATCCTGGATACATCTTGCAGTCACCTTTTAGGTGCTTGCACGTGCCTGCGTTTTTTTTCCGCGTGGTCGGCAGGCTAAGCCAGAGACACATTGGAACCTCCCGGGAAGGTTGGACACAGGCAAGTGTTCTGTCACAGGCAAGGGTGGCCATTATGAGCATGGCCCCAGGATGGCTTCAAGATGGCCACGATGGCCTCCAACATGGCTGAAGAGTATCCCAGAGGCCTCCAGGTTCGCCCAAGACGGCCCAAGATGCTATCAAGACGGTCCTCATGGGGGGGCACAGCAGCTTCCAGTCCGAATCTGGGAGGGGGGGGGTGAAAACCCTCCCCATCCCTGTGCAGACCGGGGTGGGAGGGGGCAGGGGGATCACGTCTGGTTCTAGCCCTGATAGGATTCCTTTCGAGCTGGATAGCGTTGGTAAGGTTCGATTGAAGAACGGGCTGCATCGAGACTACAGTAGGGTCCTATCACAGTTGAATCGAGTACTAGTCCGACCCTATGTGAGCTGGGTCCAGCCCATATGAGGGTTCTATACAAGATGAGCCGATCATTTGGAGGATTCCAGTGGAGCTGGATCCAGCCCTATTTGGATTCGACTAGAATTAGATCTAGCCGTTGTAGCATCTTATTAGAGCTGGATCCAGCCCTCGTGGGATTGTGTTAAAGCTGGATTTGCTTCTTGACTTAAGGGCAGGATTCGATCGATTTGAGCAGGTTCACCCCCCCCCCCTGGGTTTCTGGGGAGGGGAGAGGTCTCCCCCACTTCCCTTGGTTCCCGGAGAAAGGAGGGGGGATTTCCCCCCACCCCACCACCCACTCCAGGGTTTCCTGGAGCGACGGTATATCGCGTTCCTTCAGACGCTCCCAGACGGCTTCAGGATGATCCCAGAAGCTTCCGGGACGGCCCAAGACCCAGGAGGGTAAAGTTCACTATTTCCATTGAGTTGTTCAACGATGTGTGATCGTTTGCGCCACATCGGACTGCCGAGACCCTCATACGGGCTGAAGTGCCTTCAAGATGTCCCCAAGACGGCACAAGATGGTTCGCCTCGCGCCCGGGCCCTTCCCGGCCCGGGCGCTCCGCAGCGGCCGGGCCAAACAGACAGGGCACAGGAAATGTTATGGTCTCAACTACACGTAAGAGTGACCTTTCGCCGGAGTGACCTTTGGTGCGGGCATCATGGGGTCCCCCGATCACCGATTGCGATGCGATAGTAGCGTCTTGCGCGCCTGAGTTTGGTCCCCCCGCGGCCCCCCAAAAGCCGCGCACCAAAGGTCACTCCTACCCAGGGTCACTCTTGCGTGTAGCCGATGGTCGCTGTGGACGAGGTGGCGCAGGAGGGGGATGGGAAGAAGAACCAGGAGAGGGGGGGCGGGGATGAGGGTCGGAGGGGTGATTGCTGCCACTGCGCTTGCAGCGGTGAGGTTTCCTACAGGCTGGTCGGCACGGGCCCAGCGATCGGCTTCGCCCTGGCTTTTTTCATCGGTTTAGGCGCACCCGCTTTGGGGGGCACTCTCGCTGTAGTCCTAGGCGTGGATAGTGGGGTTGGGGATGAGCGAGATAGGAGGGGCGGGATCGTTCGGAACAGGAGTGCGAGGAGGCGGATTGATGAGTGTTCGAATTTTCGTGTGGTCAGTTTTGGTGCCTCCCCGGCGGGTCCCCTGCAGCCCTTCGGCCAGAAGCGTCCGAAGACCTCCTCCTCGACCGTGCGGGGTCGAGGGCAGAGCCTGGCACTTCAGCTGTGCTTCGCCGAGTCGTGGGCGCGTCGGTGTGGCGTCCTCCGCTGCTGTTCCGTACCAGTGCTGCTGCTACCACACCACGCGGTAGAAGTCGCCCCGGCCTTCCTGCCGCCTTCAAGGCCAGGCGGACCACGCTCGTCAGCGAGCGTTGTCGTTGGGACTGCGACAGAGTCTGACAAGCCTGAAGGGGAATGCGCAAAACGACGACGACACTGACGACGACGACGACGACGACGACGACGACGACGACTTCGCGGCGCCGGTGACGAGGACGACGGCGACGGCGACGATGACGGCGGTGATGACAATGACGACGGCGCCGGCGACGAGGACGACGGCGGTGGCGGCGACGGTGTCGGCGACGAAGACGACGACCAAGACGCAGAAGGTGCCGACGACCCTGAGCGGTTCGAGCCGCCCTTCTCCGGGTTCTCCGACAGCGGCTGGGACGCTCCGCCCTGCCTCGGCCTTCCTGGCGTCGCTGTTGTCGCTGCCGTCGCCGCCGCCGTGGTCCTCGCACGGCCTCGTCCTCCTCGTCCTTCTCTCTTTTTGTTCTCTTCCTTCTCCTCCTCCTCTCTCCTCCCTCCTCCTCATCCTCGGCGGCAATCGGCGGAAGCAGATCAAGGGCTAATCGGAAGTGAGAGTCGGCCATGAAAGAGGTGCTAACCGTTTGAATATGGGGTTTCTTAAGTTGTCTGTATGCTGTGCGCCCTCGGCTGCGGCGGAAAAGGCAGGTGGGGTGTTGTCAAGTCTCGGTACCGTTTTGCAGATGCCAGTTGGCTCCAGGGTTTTCCTCGCTGCATCGGCGATGGCCGCGCTGCGGCGGACACAAACACGGAATCACGTCGTGCACGCGGGGGGTCGGATGACGTGCTCGTGTGGATTTGGCAGCATGCGGTTTCAACCGCTGTGGCTCGTCTGCAGAGTCGGTCAGACCCAGCATGTGACTCCGCGCCTGCAAGCCCTGTCAGTGATGAGGACGAGGAGGGCAGTACGGAGGAGGAGGTGGAGGAGGCAATATGAGGGAGGAGGAGGAGGAGTAGGAGGTGGAATAGATGTGTACAGAGGAGGCAGGCGCAGCGAGGAGAAGGAGGTGGAGGAGGAACGAGAATGCGATATAGAGTGAGCTGTATGTGGGAGGGGCTTGGGCGAGGATCCAGATGGAAAAGGTAGGAAGCGTGGGAGCAAGAGGGATGACGAGAGAGGAGGGGCGACGACGAGCTTGGGGAAGGAGAGCGAGCGATGGGAAGGTGGGCGGAGGGAGTTCGGGGAGGAGGTGGGAGACGGAAGGATAGGAGGAGCAGGGTGCGGAGGAGAAAGGAGGGGGGGAGGGGGGGAAGGAGGTGGAGAAATCTAGAGAGACACGTTCAGGGGGGAGGGCGGCGGTGGCGGATGATGATCGCAGCCGGTGCCCGCCAGGACAAGTACCACTTCTTCAGCAGCACCGGGCAGGCGTGTTCGCCCCTCCCCCGCCACGAGCGCAGGGTCGCTCCGGTGGTCGTCTTCTTCCCCACCCTCCTCCCGCCTCGCTCTTCCCAACACCTCCTCCTCCTCCTCCTCCTCCTCCTCCTCCTCCTCCTCCTCCTCCTCCTCCTCCTCCTTACCTTTCTTCCGTAGCCATTTTTTGGCTCAAGGCACTAGGTCTCTCGGGTCTGAAGTGGTCACCTCGATCCGAGGCCAGACCACCGCCAATGTTCTATCCGCCACGATCCTCGCCGGACCTGCGCAGCGCCGTGAGCCCTTGCTTCTCGCTCTCTGCCAGTTGCGTCCGCCGTGTCTGCGATCGCTCCGGTGGCTGACAACCAGTCCGTGTTCACGCAGCTGCAGGCCAACATGCAGGCCATGCTACAGACACAGAACGGTGACTTGGCAAGCGCCGTGCTGCCGCTCGAGAGCAAGGTCGACCTTAACTCCAGCAATAGCTCAGAGGTTCAACGCGTCCTTCGCACCCAGGAGGAGAGGATCGCCCAGAAGGAGGCCATCCCAGAGTCGCTTGCAGATCATGTGCAGAAGGACAGTTCTTCAATATCCGCCATTTCCAGTGCTGCGCTTTGCTGATAAGTTGGATCGCAACAGGTGGCCGAGAGTGATCTATCAGCTGTCTGCCCATCCTGAACTTGATCGGCGTACATGGGTGGGTACGTGGCCGCGCCCCAGAGGGTGCGCGAGGGCTACTTCCAGTGGATGAAGAACCAAGCCTCTCAGCTGTTGCGTAGGGGTGTCAACGTCGAATTGCCATATCTAGCGACCTTCGGCCCGTCCCTCCACCGTGCCTGGCTTGTGGGTATGAAGCCTACTGGATGTTCGTTGGGATCTCGCGGGAGGCCTCTCGGGGGCCTCTTGGAGGCAGTTTGAAATCTTCTTGGGGGCCGTCTGGGGGTCCTCTTGGGGCCTCTTTTTGCCCTCTTGGGGGCCTCTTGGGGCCTCCTTGTCGTCTATTGGGGCATCCTGGGCCTCTTGGAGCGGAAGGCTCGGATTGTCGGTTCTCTTATGGTCCTCTTGAGCCGTCTTGGGCGCCTTTGTGGCCGTCTTGAAGCATGTTTGGGTTGTCTTGGGGCCGCTTTGGGGCGGTCTGGTAGGCCTCGTGTGCCGTCTTGGAGCGTCGGTAAGCCGACAAGCAGAGTAGGCCAAGCACAATGAAACAAACAAAGCATACTGGAGGGAAATCAATGAGATTGGCTTTCTGGGAGCCTTCTTGGACGGCCTCTTGGAGGCCTCCCTGGGCTTCGTGGAGACACCTTTGGCCGTCTGGGGGCCATCATGGCGTGTTGGACACATACTTCGGCTCCTGGGCCGTCTTCGGGGCCGCTTGGGGTACTCTTGGCTTCCGCATCTTGGATTGCGCCAGGTACCTCGGAGTCTACGCGTGGCGGGGAGGTCCCGCCCTTTGCTGGACGGGCCCTGGGGCCAAGCTTGTAAGAGGTGTTCGGAAATCGAGTTGGTGGGTGGGGATATTGCTCAGACTGCTCAGGGATGTAACATACACGGCGCCACGGCCACCAGCCATGTGAGCCAGTTCTTTCGTTTTCTGGGGAAGGTGCTCGAGAGGGAGAGGCCAGGGTTACAAGTGCTCCATCGTGGACACGGGCGCTCTTTCCCGCTGCTGGCCGTGCTCCATCCGGGCAAGCTCGGGCTCTTGCGAGGACCACCTGCCAGGCATGTTCCCCGTGCCGCGCCTGACGAGTTACAGAGGGCCCGCCAGTGGCTGGACGAGCTCCCGGCTTCCGACGATTCCATCATCGCGTCTTCTCTCTACCCGATCTTACGGGACGCCGTCGTCGCTTGCATGTCTCGTGTTTACAACGTCGCTAGCAAGGTCCGCCGCCACCACTCCCACGTTCACCCTAAACTCTTCCAGCGATCGTTCACACATCCGCAAAACTCATCACCACCATTTGACCATACCCGATATTACGCGTGCGCGTGCGCAATGTAGGCATCATGATATTACCCTTGTTCATATTGGCCTCCTCTGTTCCGTTGCCACTCCTGCGCTTGAGCCGTTGCCTGAGTGCTGGGTCGCGTTTTGCAGGTATCGTAAAGCCACCGAATGCTGCGGCTGCATGGATTTCTGTGCCGAAGAGCTCTCCCATATGTATGCTGCCCTGTCGCTGCCCCGTTGCTTCAGTCTCTCCTCCCGTCCACGGACTGCTGGGGGCATGACCCGCTCAGAATCATTGTGCACTGCTTCTGGAAGTGCGACTCGGAGCATTCTTTTTTTGGCACCAGTGTGGCCATTGATGGAATCTTCTCTGCGGTAAGCTCTGCTCGCAGCAGCGGGAAGCGGTCCGAGGCCCATGCCTTGCGAGCAGGTGCATGCCAGGCTCCGCGCCAACTCCCGCCGCTGTGTCCACGTCAGGAAGTTGTTGACTGGATGACCTCGCTCCCCTCCTCTCCTCCTTTCCTCCGGAATGCCCTCGAAGGGCCGAGTTGCCATTTGTTCACTGCCCAGCCGGTCCCCCCTCGGGGGGGGGGCATGGAGGGCTCTTCCGTGCGGAAAACGTACATAACCATATCCTTTCTCTGCCGAGCCCGAAAACGGCACGGCGATTTTCCTGACACTTGTGCCTGGCAAAATTCGGACTGCGAGGCCTTTAGATTGCCACGGTGGGCTTGCATCTAGATGTGGTTCACTGGTTGACCTCTGTCCCCTCCTCTCAGGTGGTGGCGCTCCTCCGTACCCTTCTTCCGAATTCTCCATCCTCGTCATCATTCCCTCCTACCTTCTTCATCCTTCCCCTCTTCCCCCTTGTGCTCTCCTCACCCCGTCCTCCGTTCCTCCTCTTCCTCCTCCCGCCTCCCCTCTCTCCCCTCTCCTTGGCCCTCTTTCCTACCCGTTCTTCCAGCTTTTCTTCCTTCCCCAACCTTCCCCTGAGCCGTTCGGAGAGCTCGCGCCCACCCCACCGTCGCGCTCCTCCGCGCTCGTGACCCCCTCCTCCCAGTCCTTCTCGTCCTCGCTCGTCCTCGGCCACGTGGCCACATGGCGGCGACCTCCGCCCGGGGAGCCCGTGGAGGCCGAGCACCGCGGCCGAGCCCGCGCGGGCCGCTCCCGCCTCGGGGCCGGGTGCGGCCCCGTGCAGTCCAGCGCGTTGTCGACGAGGCGGTGTCTAGGGTCCGGCGATGAGCCGAGTTGTCGGGTTAGCCCCCGTCCCCCTCCCCGAATTTCGGGCCGGACGAAAGGGTGGGATCGGGAAAGGGGGGGTTACGAAGTCTGCTGTATGCAGCTGGTTTCGGCCCCACCGAGGGGCCCATTCCTCAACCCTCCCTTTGCTATCCCCCCCTTTCGCCCGACCCGAGAATTACCTGACCTTCTCCGTTGTTCAAGGCCTCCTAGATGGGGTCGGAGTTTAGATGGGGTCGGAGGATCGCTCCGCAGCTCCGATGCATCGGCGATGCGGCTCGATGCGGCGCGGTCCTTGGACCCCATCTACTCGGACCCCATCTAGGAGGCCTCTAGTCGTCGGGGGTCTTGAGACGGGTGTCGATGCAAACGGGGGTCAGTCAGAGCGCCAGATTTTGCGGGATCCTGCAGAGCCAGGGTTGCATTGACCCGGGCTAGGGCGCAGGATCCTGTCGGATCTTGCAGGTCCCTGCAGGATCCTGCAAGGCCTGACTGACCCGGGTCAGCACTGACCTGGGTCAGTAGATCCCCGAGGTTGCGCGCAGGTCCTAAATGTATGCTGATCCGGTGCGCGCTTGCAAACACGGAGATGCCCGAAGCCAAGGGGTCAGGCTATCAAACACGATCTCATACATGCAGCGTCTCCAGGACGGGAAATGCCCCTAGAATTTGCCAACCAGCCGAGGTATTGATTCGTTGTTTGGGTTTCGGCGTTGTTGGGTTTTCGTTTCATATCGCATCGCGGTGTGGCCCATTCCATTCCATTCCTCCTCCTCCACCGCGGCTGCGCGACACGCGCCAATCCGCGTGACTTTGCGCTGCGAGCTGCGAGCTCTTCTCACGTCCACTCCCATCGCCCTGATCCTTCCCTCTTCCATCAGTGCCTCGGAGACACCAGAAGGTCTCAGGAAGTTCGGCAGGTTTCGGTGAGTTTCTCTGGCGGCCGACGTTCTCCGCATCATCCTCTCTCGTATTTCTCCAGTCCCCCTCCTGCCATCCCTCCCCCGCCCCCCTCCGCCTCTCCTCCGCCTCCCGACCCTTCCACCCGCGGGGGCGCCAGACACCTCGTGTCTGGTCCTCCACGCTGCTCGCTCAGTCTCGTGGGCCCCCTTCATGGCTCTATCCTCCGTTTGCGCCCTCCCCTTACCTCTCCCCGACTAACCCAGGGCTGTGTCACGGTGCCCAAGCCAGACGGAATTATAGTTCTGTGTTCCGCACCTACATGCGTGTGTACACTTGGCAAGAGGCAGAGAGGGAGGGAAGGGGAGGAGCAGAAGGAAGAGGGCGGCGGTCGATCAGACCACAGCAAGCAAAGCTTGAGCGTCGATATGTTCCCCGATCCAGGCCCCTCGCATTTGTCAGAGCTGGATTGTGCAAGAGTGCGGCGACCCAGTTAGCTCAAGAAGTATCTTCCATTACGTTGCTATCACGACTGGCAGGGCAGTGCGAATACGAGAGGATCCCGTGCACGATCGGTTTGTCTGAACGACTCGGGTTATTGGCAGGCGTTCGTCGGTGCGCAATGCTCTCTGATCTGGATCCGAGTTCGGATGATTTCTCGCTGGACCACATACACTCGTTCTACATATACGAGCAAGTATATACGCAAACGTAGGTTTGTGAGTACTTCTTTCTGCGTAGTTATTTGGCCCGTGCCCCCTTTGCTTCGCCAGGGCGACACGAAGGGTGGCATCCACATGACTGCGCGCAAGGACTGGCGCTTGTCCCTGCTGCTCTGCGCAAATCGTCGCGGGTGCAAGTGGACGAGAACAAATTGAGTCGGCAGGGTGCAGGGGTTCGTGGATGACCCATTCCAAGAGAAAGGAACATGTAGAACGAGGGAGCGAGGCGCCAATGACGATGCATACGGATTTGTTCACGGGTGCAGAGAAAACGGGATGTAGTGTTAGAAACAGAGGGAGAGAGAGAGAGAGGGAGAGAGAGAATGAGAGAAAGCAACCGCGCTTACATGAGGTGTGGCATCGCTGGTACCGTGCATCATCCTCTGGCATTCTCAATGATGCGCAGAGTTTGTCCGAGGGGCTGAGTTCCAGCCAGAACGGAACGACTACTTTGGTATCGTGAGGGGCAGCAGCGTTATTGTGACCAGCGCAATACATACTTGTGGCCAGCACGATTGGGATCAGTCGGAAATACTGCGAGTAGCACGTCGGTGGGTACTGCGAGCGAGAGCGGCTATTCACTTGAAAACAGCCGCATGGTGCGCAGCTGTATCAATAAGTCCAGAGCGCCACCATGACCAGACCATCCGTGCGGAGCACCGTTCGTAGCAGCAACAGCGCAGCCAGCAGCACCACAGTGATCAACACATGGAGCAGCGCACGATCAACCAGCGTATCGAGCGCACCCAGCACACATTCAGTCCGTCCCTGCACGGCTGACCTCCTGCATGGTTTCCCCACGGCCGCTTCCGTACTAGCTTTCGTGTTGCCTACGGCCCTCTCGTTTCGGAAATTTAGTGGCTTGGTAATCTCGGCGGACGTCGTCAGTTGACACACTGTGCACGTGCAGCCACTTTCCCCATACCCCCTGCCACCTCTGGCATCGCATGGGCGACAGTGCGGCTACCACTCATACCTATATCGTATTTGGCCTTGTGGGGGTAGGGTCGGTTCCCTGCTCATCCAGGCGTAGCTTCCTCTGCGCGCTAACCGGTGGGTTAAACTTGCCATGCTAGGTATTTGCCATTGCGCCTCACCCTTAAGTCTGCTCTTTCTTCCATGCGGGTGGGCGGTGGCCGCCACATGGCATGTGTCGTTGCGTGTTTGCCGCCCCGTTGGCGTCGGCACAATGGCTCTTGATTCGAACTCTGAGATTGAAGATCACGCCCAGCAATCGCTCTTGACGCAGCCATCTAAGCGTTCCCCAGAAGCGTGTTCAAGCAAGGTTGTGCGGAGCATGCTTGTTTTTGTGTTGGTCGTACGTATTTCTTCCGCCGCAGAATTGGTCTCAGTTGACCACGTGCTGCTGCCGATATCGAGCCTCCTTGCTGGCTTGCCCGCCATGCGGCCGATCTTGACGCCCCGTCACGGAGCGCAGCGACATGCGCACCCTGGCCAAGGTGAACAGGCAGGGCAACACCTGTAGGGCGTTCAGGCAGCAGACCCGCGGAAGCCAGCCGACGTAAAACGAAAGCGGCTCTCCCGGCGCAAGCCAGCAGACGTCCGCTGGCAGGCGCAGACAGCAAAGATAGGCCGTTCCACTCTCGCGCCCCTGTAGCCTAGCCGCCTCGAGACGGCGCCGCGGGCCGAGCACGCGCCGCGCACGCTGCCGCTGCCGCCGAAGGTGTGCGAGCAGCGGGTGCCCGCCCGGGTCTGCAGGCATCGCACGGCGCGGGGGGCGCGGGCGGGCAGCGCGACAGGCGCGCGAGAGCGAGGCTGCCAGAGCGAGCGCGGGAGCCGGCGCGGGGCGCCCCCTCCGCTCGCCGCGCGCCCCGCCCGCTGCCGCCGGGGCTGTGCGCGCAGGCCCGGCGCCCGAGCTCGATCCTCGCTGCGGCGAGGCCGCCAGACCGCGCGGCCCGAGGGGGCCGGCAGGGCGGGCGGGTCCGCGCACGGCGCCCCCGTCCTTCGAGCCCGTCGGCCTGGCTGGTCGCGCCCGCGCTCCCCACCGGCCACGCCTGCCCCCCGTGAGGGGGGCCCTGCGCGCGCCCGCCACGGGCCACGGCCGCGCCGCCCGGTGGTGGGGGCGGCGGGTGCCCCAGGGCCGCCGCTGGAGCGGTCGACAGCCCGAGGCCCTCCCGAGATGCTTTTCTCTTGGGAGCCTTCGGATGATGCGCTCCCCCGCCCCTCGCTGCCGCCGCCGCTCCCGCCGCCGCCCTTGCGGGCGCCGCCGCCGCCGGTCACTCGTCGACGCCGCCGCGGTCGTCGTCGCACCGGAGGGGCGCGTGCACCGGCGCCGGCGGCCGCGCTCCCTCCCGCCAGGGGCGTGCCCGTCCGGCCATGACCGGCGCGCAGACGCGCCTCCGACCGCGGGGTGGGCAGGGTGCAGCAGGTTCGTGTCGCGCCGACGCGGCGGCGACCCCGGCGCGGGCGTTCGAGGTGCAACGCCGGCGGCGGCTCCAGAATCGGCCAACCTGGGACGATCTGCAGCGATCGAGAAGCCGCCGATCGTTCCAGGCTGACCGAGCTGTGCGGTGTCAGACGCCAGCGCCAGTGGTCCGTCACGACGCGCCCGCGCGCCGCCCCAGGCGGCCGAGGTGCGCTCGCTTCCGGGGCTGGCTGGGCCCATGAGCTGGAAGAAGAGGAGGAATACTCTCCACTCGTTTAAACTAGATATCAGATACCGACCTACTTTAGCCGAGATCTATTTTTACCGAGTCTAATTTTACCGAGCCGGGACCTGAATACTCAACACAACGTAGCAGATGTCTGGGGTCAGTCCAGGGTCAGTCCGGGGTCAGTCCGGGGTCAGTCCAGGGTCAGTCCGGGGTCAGTTTGGGGTCAGTCCGGGGTCAGGCCGGGGTCAGTCCGGGGTCAGTCCGGGGTCAGTCCGGGGTCAGTCCGGGGTCAGTCCGGGGTCAGTCCGGGGTCAGTCCGGGATCAGTCTGGGGTCAGTCCGGGGTCAGGCCGGGGTCAGTCCGGGGTCAGTCCGGGGTCAGTCCGGGGTCAGTCCGGGGTCAGTCCGGGGTCAGTCCGGGGTCAGTCCGGGGTCAGTCCGGGGTCAGTCCGGGGTCAGTCCGGGGTCAGTCCGGGGTCAGTCCAGGGTCAGTCCGGGGTCAGTCCGGGGTCAGTCCGGGGTCAGTCCGGGGTCAGTCGGGGGTCAGTCCGGGGCCAGTCTGGGCTCCGTGCGGGGTCCGTCTGGGCCGGGGTCAGTCCGGGGTCCGTCGGGGGTGCGTCGGGAGCCCGGGTCAGTCCAGACTGACCGTGGATAGTCCTGGAGCCTGGAGTGGCCTGCAGGATTGACCGTGCAGACCGACCCTTGAGTGGCCCCGTGTATATGGAGTCTGGTCGGATCGAATTCAGCGCAGCCGAGCCGACCGCCACATTGCGAGGTGCACGCGTTTGTGGGGGCGCCCGAATGGAAAGGAGAGCGGATAATATGTTAAAGGAGGAGGACGAGGACGAACAGCAGCAGCAGCAGCAGCAGCAGCAGCAGCAGCAGCAGCAGCAGCAGGAGCCGGTGTGGTGTGGAAGGGGCGGGGGGAGCACGAGACCAGGGGCAGGCGGAGACGGGGGAGAAATTGAGGGGGCGGGCATCAACAGTGAACGAGGGCTCGGGCCCTGAAAGGTGGCCCTTCTCTGGGGCGAGAGCGCCGCGCCATGCTGAGCGACGGGGGCGAGGGAGCCCATGCTGAGGCGGGAGCCCCGTATTGAAACACCGGAGCAATCGGCTGGTAATTCATGTGTGTGGGAAGCAGATCTCTCAGAGGGCCGAGCATCCTTCGGGCAGAGTCAGTGGAGATAGGAGAGGGGTGTTCATAATGCGTAGTTGGGGAGGAGACCCATGGGTATACGGACTGTGCCATCGCAGGCTGGCCCCTGGGTGGGGCTTCCAGTCATGTGCCCTCACCCTGGTCTGCTGCTTCCTAGCATAGGCCACGGAACTCAGCGGTCTTAACCTCGACCGACCGGGGTGAACGAGTAGTGCGTGCAGGAAGTGGAGGACTCCTCCTCTCCTCCTCCCCCTCCTCTCCGCTCACTTCATCCTTTCCCTTCCTGGACTCCTTTTCCTTCCATACTTCCCTTATCCGACACTCCATCTTCCTCCTCCTCAGTCCCCCCTCTCCTTCCCTCGTCTTTCTCCATCTTCCCTCTCCCCTCTTTCTCCCTTCCCCCTTCTCGAACCTCCACTGAATCATCCTTCCTCTCCTCTCCGCCTCAGCGCCTCCCCCTCTTCGCCCACCCCAAATTCACCCTATACCTCGCTCCCTTCCTGGCCGGTGACGGCCGTTACCGGCGGGGGATGGAGGCTGTCAGGAGGGAAAAAAAACACAGACACAATTAACTGTCGACCCCTAGGAAAATATGGGAAAATATGGGAAGTGGGGGGAAGACAGAAACCCAAAGAATATGGGAAAATATGGGGAATTATTTTATTTGTGTGTATTTATTTGTGTGTCCCAGGGCCCCTTCAGGCTGGTGGCGTCACGTTTCGCGCTGGCGCCGTCTGGGAATGCCTCGGAAGAACCAACTGGGAGCTGCTGCGGCAGAGCGCGCGCGTGCCTGTAGGGAGCTGCCACGGCAGAGCATTTGTGTGATCCTGATTATCCTCTGCCTCCTCCTCCTCCTTCTCTTCCTTCTCCTCCTTATCCTCAGCCTCCTCCTCCTGATTCTCCTCCTTATCCTCATCCTCCTTATCCTTCTCCTCCCTATCCTCTGCCTCCTCCCTCACCCTCCTTTTTCTCCTCCCCCCATCGTCGTCGTCGTCGTCGCGTTCCTCCTCTCGTCGTCCCCGTCCTCCTCATTATTGTGCGAGGTGCCTCACCCAAGGATAGACGAAGGGAGGAGGGAGTCGGGAGGGGGCAGGGGGAGGGAGGTGGGGCCATGTCGAAACGAGCTGTTTAATTCCACTTAGGTAGTCGATTCGTGCTCTGAGAAGGACCTGGGCCCTTCTGAGCCCAAGACGGGGGATGGTTCCGCCGTCGTCCTCATCCTCCTCTTCTCGCTGTCCTCGTTCTGCTTGTGTTCCGAACCAGACACGCCGTGGGGCTGCACACTTATCGCGGGCCACCTACTGCGTTTCACCCAAAGCCTCTTCCCTTGCAGACCTGCCCCATCGGGAAGCTTCACCCCAACGACCCAGGACACTTGTCGTGTGTATGTCTTTTTTTCCTACCGGGAAGCTATACGCACGTGGTCTGGCCAGCCTTGGTTTGTGAGCTGGATACACATGTACCCGCATGTCTTTCGAGGGTTCGGCCTTCGTGTGGGTGAGTACGACAGCCCTCCGCACGTGTACCCACCAACTGACCTCCGCATGTTCCGAATGTGTGTTCCGACCGCGGGTCTTCCACGCCTCCTGGTTTGCTTAGGGCGCCCAGCTTGAGATTCGCAATCGTGGTCCGATCGTTCAGGTAAATGGGGTGTGGTGCGCTGCTGATGGTGGAGTTGTGTTGGACGTGGCCCGCGTCGATCTCACTGGCTAGCGTCATTCCGCACGCCCCGAGCGAGCCCCAGTGATGTGGTGCGCACGTTGTTGTGCAACAAAAGACCTTGCACCGCAACGTAGCATAATACGACGACGCGAAAGAGGAGTGCAAGGACCATGACGGGGAGGAGGAGCACGACGACGACGACGCGGCCGCTCTCCCCCTCGGGCCCAGGGGTGCCCAGCCCCCTTTTCAGCAAACGAGCCGATACCAAAAGTCGAATCAAGTTGGTCGCTTCGGCCTGGCCCTGGCTCCCTCGTCCCCCCTCCTTTCGATTCCCCCGTGATGCCGCTGTCCACGCGGACTCTGCCAAAACCTCCCGCCCCAGGGGAAAAAGGATGCTGCCCTGGCCAAAGCAACGGCGGCAGTCGTGGCTGCGGATCAGGCGTTGGTGACGGCGAGTTTGGCAATGACCGCGGCGGTTCACGAGCAGCTGGAGGCGATGGTCAGCCACGACGCGGAGGTCGCCAGGGTCGCGGCGTAGCCATCACCCATTCTGTCCCCGAGGGCTCCGCTGCTGACGTGGAGCATATGGTTCTTGCTGTCGGCGATGCGCTCTTCTCGGACATCCGCTGGCTTTCACCAGGAAAAGCAAAACGAACACTTGGAGCTCCAACGCCACATCAAGGAACGCTGCGGCCAGGTGGCGGCGCTGCAGACGAAGTTCCATGCGCAATGCGAACAGGTTCGCGGCATCTGCTCTTCGTCACCGAAGCGCCAGAGCGTTAACGACGAGGTGGCTGCCGTCGCCGTTGAGCAGCCACGTGCTGATGACCAGGAGTCCCAACCTGATGGTCGGGATGGGCCCGCGGCCCCAACGGCGGCCAGCACCGTCTCCGCCGAGGATGCAGAGAGGGTGCTTTGGGATGCGCTCATCACGGCGCGCACCACCGCCGTGGGCCAGGCCACGGTTGGCGGCAAGGGCTCTGACATGGGCAATCTTCCTCGAGCAGCTGGCGCAGCCGCCATCCCGCCAGCGCTCGCGGGATGATCGAACGCGCGAAACTTTTTAAAGCGTCGCGCCATTGATCCCCCGATGCCCAGGACCCGCATGGGCTCTCAAGCTTGGGCCGCCAAGGTGTTTAAGCAGCCGCCTGGAATGTCGCATCGCCATGTGAAAAGGTGCTCTTCACGCAACCGATGAGAAATTGTTCGAGAGCGTTCACCATACCCGGCGAGGTGATGGACAAATGGCCGATGAGTGGTTTGCGATCTGGAGTTGTCCGCGCATGGCATCTCAGGAGGCGGCGGCTGCCCTTGGCCATGCGATGAGGCGCCCCGCGGCCAGGTGACCTCGAGCCCTTGTCTCGTCAGAGCCTCGACAGCGCATCATCCAGCATTGATCCCAGGCAGGCGAATGGGGGTGGCTGCAATGGGCCCTTTGGAAATACAGCAGTTTCCTGGAGCTGCAAGGGATGAACTGCTCGGGCTGCCTGGAGAAGATGGGCGCGCGGGATTGCGGCCCGATCGGCTCTGCTTGGCAGTTGCCGCTCGGGCGTGCGTGTATGGGGTTGGGGGGCGGGGGCTGGGGAGAGCGCCCGCGGGCCCCCTCCCCGTCGAAGTTGCGGCATGCGATGGGGTCTCCTGTCTCGTCGCGGTGGGCCGTCGGCGCAGGCGAGCATTGGGGCGCCGCCGCCCACGGGCCATCGGCGCTACAGGCGGCGCTGACCAGGCCCATGTTCGACCAGTCTTGTCAGGAGCCCCACGCGTCGTCGGCCGCCCCGCTGCCGGCCTCGAAAAAGTTGTACGATTGGGAAGATGTGTGCCGCAGGGCTCCAGCGTAGGCCCCCTGATACTGTCCCAGCGCCGGAGCTGCAGCTGTTCCCAGGCGTAGCCACTTGAAGGGCCACGTCTGGTTTGGCAAGGCCATGCGCCCCATGAGAATTCTGGTCGGTAAGCCCCTCGACGGAGGGCGCTTGGCCGAGGCATTCGCGGGCCCGGCATTGATCGGCACCGTTGAGGGATGCATCAAGTTTCGCTTCATCGTTGACGGCGCCGACGTCCGCCGCGAGGGCGTGGGGGGGAAAAGCGGCGACACCGCGATCGACTCGCGCAGCTCTCAGCGCTCGGACCTCGCGGAAGTCAGCCTCGCGATCAGCCCCGACGCGGTCGTCGTGGCTGCGTCGGCGCGATCGGCGAACCCGATATGCGGGTGGTCTCCATCGCGCTGGCACCTTTGTGGCGCCGGCGAGGAGCGCGGCGGGCCCCGGGGCGGACGCCGCGTCGGGCGGGGGTCGCGCGAGAATCACAGGGCGAGGGGGGCGCTGCGAACTGCGGCCATCGAGCACGCGCGATGCGCGCCCGTCTTCGCGCCATCACGCAATTCGTTTGGACCGCGGGCTCCAAGCGGCAGGGGGCCGGCCGCAATCAGACGCTCGTCGCCCAGCCTACGGGCAAGTCAAACACCGGCACCAAGCCGCCCAAGATGCAATGGGAGCTGGACCTGGGATGTGGCATGCGACGTCCTTGGCGGCTGCGCACGACCGATGCGGCCCCGCTGCGACCGCGCGCAGGGAACACATCTCGACGCTGTCAAAGCTGCGCGGCGACAGCCCACATTCGCACTTGGATGGCCAAGTCTCGGGGGCGAGCTCGGGGCCGACTTGGGCCGGAATGTTCGCGCCGCTGGAGGATCGTCGAAGGTCCTACTCCGTCGACGATGGTGGCGACGCTCGTTGAGGTGGGCCAGAGTCCGCACAGTCCTGCGCAGCGGCGCCCACGCCGGCATTATATCCGTAGAATATTATCGGTTTTTGACGATGTGTTTTGGCAGTTCCGTGATGGCTGCGGCGAGGCCCTCGGCGACGACGGGGCCGCGGCGGGCAGCCGCCCGTGGGCTGCAGCTTCGAGGCGCGAGGGCGGAGCTGCCATGTGCAACGAGGTCGACGCGTGGCAGATCTGCCGCGGGCTCGCATGCTCGAGCCCGATGTCGACAGGGGCCTCTGGGCCCCGAGCGCGGCGGTCGTCGCTGGCGGCCAGTGGCCTCGCGAACGCCACCAGGCGGCAAGATGTCTGATGGGTGCCCTTTGCCAGGGATGCAAAGCTCACCCGAGAGTCTGCATCGCGGGGCTTGGTTCTCGAGGTTCCCGAGCGAAGCTAGCGCCCCGCCGGGCAAGCCACCAGGAACCTGCTCCGCGGGGCCTCTGGCCGCCCTGAAACTGTCCCAGCGTTTTTGGGCCGACCTCTTGTCCGTCTGAGTTTTCGCCCTATCAGTCATCAGCGCCGTTCCCAGAGATGCTGAAGGTTCTGTCGCATTGTATAGGGGCGGGTCGGGCGGGGGCTTCTCGGGCGACCCTTGGCGTCGAAGGTATGGCGCGGGGTCGTTGCCCCTGAGCTCGACGACGAGAATTCGCACGTGAATTCATGGGCCACAGGCCTGCCGTTACGAGAGCTGCCGTGGAGCGGTCAGGAGATTGACCTCTGGGCCAGGGCCCAGGCTGCGATTGCCCCTCGCGGGCAAGGCCGCATCGATAGATTTTGGCTGCCTGTCGCCAGGAGGGGTCTGCAAGCTTCCCTGAGCATGAGAGGCTCGTTGGTTTTGGCATCGGGCGTGCCAGTGCGCCCGCGAGTGAGACTGCGTGCAGGGGTGGAATCGGTCGACCATGCTGTGGAGCCCGCCCCCCTCTCACTGCTCGGCGGGGCGCGGGGGCGGCCCCGAGCCGCCGTCGGGCGCACTTTTGCCGCAGGTGCGGGCTGCTTTCGGGTCAGGGTTTGACCTTCCGGTGGCGTGAGGCCCGTTGCGCCTTTGAGTCCTCCCAGGATTGTTCGCCGCTGCGGGCCCCCCAGAGACTTGCGGGCAAGGACCTTCGGTCTTCTCACATGCTGATTTGTTGCGCAATTTGCGGCAAGTCGAGCACCGCCGACCCTGCCAGCTTGTCAAAACGCGCGAGCCGACCCCCAAAGGGCGGCATAATTTATCGAATGTCCGTGCGGGCAGATATCTTCATTCCTCCAGGCCCCCCGGGGAAGTCCGTGAAGCCCAGTCCATAGAGTCCTTCGCAATTTATGTGTGCAGACGGCGTTGTTGCTGTTACCAATCATTATTGGCTTCGCCTTTTTCCCGAAGGCGCGTTTCTGTGTTTTTCTAAGTCGTCGTGGTGTCGCCATTCCGTTGAGCTCACGTCGCGTTCGTTCCCAATCATTCCTGGATCGTTGTTTATGCTGTCCTTGCGCGAATCACGTTATCACAACGCAGTGAGGACGTCAAGCGGAGGAGAAGGAGGGAGAGGAGGAGTAGGATGCGGAGGAGAGACGCGGGAAGACAGAGCAACACCACATTGTATTCCCAGCGTTTCCAGACGGCGCCGGCTCAAATCTGCACGTTGCCTGGGGGGCCTGGCGTGGCCGGTAACGGCCGCCATAGCAGAAAATAGCAACGCGATCTTTGGGAAGAGCCAAGAAGACCCAAGACCATGCAGAACAATACCTGCAAAAGACCTTACAAAGCACCTACCCGAAGACCATACGGCACCTGCCCAAGACCATACAACATAACTACCCAAGACCATACAACACCTACCCAAGACCATTCAAAGCATTACCTGAAGAGGCTCCCAACACCTACCTGAGACCATACAAAACAACTCGTCGGTGGCGAGCCGAGGGGTAAGGTGAGAGGGACAGGCCTTCTCAGAAGGCGTCGGGGCGTCAGAGAGGGCTTGCAGAAAGGCTTCCAGGACGGCAAGGCTGGAGGCCCATTGGGCCTTTTGAGGAGTTCGGGCGGGTGGTAATGAGGGGTGGCCCAAACGGGAGGTGAAGAAAAGGGCCCTAAAAGGGCCCTTTGGGGCCACTTTTGGTTACCAACTCGCTCCAAAACAGGCCTCAAGGGCCCCTTCAGCGCCCTTTTCTTCATCCCTCACTTGGGTCACCCCCCATTGCCCCCCCGCCCGAAAAGTCCCGCCCCCTCTGTTTCCCTCCTTGCTCGCGCCTCCGAAGTTGGTCTTCGAGCCTCCTCCTCCTCCTCCCTCGAGCCTCCTCCTCCTCCTCCTCCTCCTCCTCCTCCTCCTCCTCCTCCTCCTCCTCCTCCTCCTCCTCCCCCTCCTCCGCGTCCGGTGCGCGGAGGTTCCTCGTCGACCCCTTCACGCCCGAGGACATGAACCGCATCAGGCGGGGCGGCGGCGGGCGGGCAGCAGCGCCCACTGCCGTCCTCTTTCTGGCTGGCGGCGCACGCTTCCAGAAGCCTGCCCCGACGCCTCTGCCTCCCTGCCCTCCAGAGGCTCCTCCTCCTCCTCCTCCTCCTCCTCCTCCTCCTCCTCCTCCTCCTCCTCCTCCTGGCTTCCTGGGGACCTACGGGCTCCGGGGGTCCCCTGGAGGTTTCTGGCCGTCCTTGTCCGACGCTGGCCGGAGGTCTGGGGACGAGGAGCACGGCGGACAGTCCAGGGAGGTCCAGGAGGGCGGATGCCCCTCCGGCTCAGGTTGGAAGGGGTGCGTTGCTGAGGTAGGGCGGCGAGCAGACGAAAGCGTTGTGGGCGGGCCCGGATTTGACGCGGCGCTGATGCGCGGTCAAGGAAGGGCCGTTTGTGGCAGCGGCATCCCCCCTGGGCAGTGGGGCAACCGAGTGAGTCAAGATCGAGTCCATCGGACCCTCGACCCTTGCCTTTCCCTCCTCCTCTGACCTCGGCCCCTCGGAGCCCCCCCTCCGGACCTCCACCCTCTGTCCTCGACCCTTCCCCTCGATCCTCGACTCTTGACCCCCCTCCCCGGGCCTCGACCCTCCTTAATGGAGGATGACGATTAATGAATGACCCGGGGTCGTGTTCACGCGGCGGCGCCCGGGATGACGATCAGAAAAAACCAGCCGCGGGCTGGAAAACTATTCTTTTAATCATTCTCCTCCAGTCAGAAAATTGTGCATAAATAACAGAAAATCATCCCAGTGCGACCCTACCTAGGAGTTGGACCCCCTAGGACAGCAGCATTAGTAGTAACAGTAACGCTAAGCTAAAGCTAAGCTAAAGCTAAGCTAATGCTAAGCTAAAGCTAAGCTAAAGCTAAGCCACAGCTAAGCTAAAGTTAAGCTAAAGCTAAGCTAGAGTTAAGCTAAAGCTAAGCTAAAGCTAAGCTAAATCTACAGCTAAGCTAAATCTAAGCTAAAGCTAAGCTAAAGCTAAGCTACAGCTAAGCTAAAGTTAAGCTAAACGCTAAGCGAAAAGCTAAGCGAAACGCTAAGCTACAGCTAAGCTAAAGCTAAGCTAAAGCTAAAGCTAAAGCTAAAGCTCCCAGGGGACTGGGGGGAACCGCTCCCAGGGGACTGGGGGAACCGCCCAGGGCGCTTTCCATTGCCCGGCCCCGTTAAGCTAGAGAGTAAGAACCCTTCTAGGCAGAGCCTAGGTAGGGAACTATTGTTTGAATCGTTCTCCCCCATTTTTTGTGTTAATCGTCATCCCGCATTACTGGTCCCCCCCCCCCTGGCTCGAGCGGCCCCGATCTGCGGCCTCGCACGCCTCGCCCTCGCACCCGGGCCCTCGGCCCTCGACCGGCCCCCCCCTTCGGTCCTCCTCGGCCCTCGACCCCGGATCCCCCCCCCCCTCGGCCGGGAGCCTGGCCACGCGCATGAAGGGGGCAGGGGGGAGGGGGGAGGCCTTCTCAGAAGCACCCCTGCCTCTTAGAAGGCGCGGGCCTTCTTTGTAGATGTCAGGCCGGCGCCTTCTAAGAACCAGCCTCCTTCTAAGAAGCCTTCCCCCCTCCCCCTACCCCCTCGGCCGGGAGCGGGCCCGCCCGGTGGCCAGGTCCCGGGGCACCGACTGGAACCGCACCACCTACGGCGAGTGCTTCGGCCAGCTGGCGCGCCCGCGCGCGCGCGCGCCGCCGCGCCGGCAGCGGGCCGCGTCTGCGCGGCCGTGCCCCCCGCCTTTTCCCCTGGGCCTGTGGGTCGGTGTTTCTGCTCCGTGGTCCGCCCACCTGCAGCGTGAGGTGGAGTCATCGTAAGCGCGCCCCGCCACAGCCCTCGCTGCAGCGCCGTCACTTGTCATCTCCGTATTTTTCTCTTGTTGATTATATCTCTCTTTCTTTCTTTCTTTCTCTCTCTCTCTCTCTCTCCTCTCTCGACATCTGTGTATAAATATATATGTATGTATATGTGTGTGTCTATATGCAGATATTTACATACATATGCACAGACACCTCCCTTTGTGTATGTATTCGAATGTTACACATGTATATATATAAATATATACAAATCTAGTTGTATATGTATGTACAATTACACATACATATGCACATGTGCATATGTATCCGTGTGACGGGGCCGAACGATCCGTGGTGCGGATGTGTGTTGTTGTTATTGTTGCTGTTGCTGTTGTTGTTGCTGTTGTTGTGGTTGGTGTTATTGTTGGTGTTGTTGTTATTGGCGTTGTTGTTTGGCGTTCGTGTTGTTGTTTAGTTTGATGTTGTTGTGTTTGTTGTTGTCGTGCTTGTTGTTTGTTGTTTGTTAGTTGTCGTCGTCGTCCAATCCGCGACCGGGCCCGCGACCCACCCACGACCCACCCGCGACCCACCCGCGACCCACCCCGCGACCCACGTGCGACCCACGTGCGACCCACCCGCGACCCACCCCGCGACCCACGTGCGCCTCACCCGCGACCCACTCGCGACCCACCCGCGACCCACCCGCTAGCTTTGACGAAAAATTTGGCGGCGCTTGCGGTGGGCTCGTTGCACACTTTGTTTCAAGTCGGCGCCTGCGGCGGGCTTCTTCAGAGCCTCGCAGGCCGCCCACGACCCCGCCGCCCACTCCATACTCTTATCCGCAACTGCGGGGTACTATGTATTGACATTTGCGCGCACGTATGGTGTGTGTATGTGCTGCACTGTCGCTGTCGCTCTCCCTTGGGGCTCACGCGTCCCACGCCCTTGCGGGTCCGTCCCTCCTGCCGCTTCTCCTTGCTTCTCCCTTCCAGGCCTGCTTGCACCCTGCGTGTCTCCCCTTTCCCCCGCTGCTCCCCTCGCGACTGCCCCCTCGCGAACGATGCTGTTGATCCCCATATGGGTGGCTCCAGTACCTCTGCGCAGCTCCACGCCGCTCGACCTGTGCGGGCCCGCGCGCGCCTCTCCGGTCGACGTGACCCACTGCGCGCCGCTGCGCGCTTGGCCGCGACGCCCCGAACAAGTGTGAACGTGTGTGTGTGTGCGTGTGTGCGTGCGTGCGTGTGTTCTTTTGGTTTCCGCTCGCGCTTCCTGCTTTTAGACCTTCTCCCGCCCTGTCGCTGCGCGCAGGGCCGCGGCGCCAAAAAGTGTGTGTGTACGTGTGGATTACCCTTATTTGTGTGTTGTGCATCATTCGACCTGTGCGCTGCTCTGGCGGCACCGCATGTTGTGTTGGCTGGGCTGGGAGGGCCCTTGGCCCAGATCACCTGCACGAATATGTGGCACAAGCTTTGCGGTGCCAGCTGCGTGGTGCAACGCACGGGTCCAGGACGGGACGCCCACGAGGCCCACGCACGCCCACTGTTGGGCCTACGCCGCGACTGACGGGGCCTGTTCGAACCAAGCCCACCCCTTCCTCGCCAGGCGGGCTATTGTGCGCGCTGCGGGCCGGAACGGCTTACCGCTCTGCCTGTGTTCGCGGCCCAGCTCAGTCCGCACAACGCGCTGAAATCCGTGGCCATGCTGCACCTCGCTTCCGCGGCTGAACGGCGTGTGCGCGCCTTTGCCGCCAATCGAGCGGATTCGACGGGCTCGAATATTTCATCCAAGGTGAGCAGCCAAAGACATGCGGCCTGCATTTTGACATCTGGCAGAGATCACCGGGTGCGCGTGGCAAAGTCTGACCTTTTCAACGCCAAGAAAGTCGAATGCCATTTCGGAGAGGGAGGCATTCACGACGGCCGCATCACGCCCATCGCTGACGCCTTCAACTGGCATGCCGACGAGCTGGCAACCCCAGGAGCGAGGCTACGCAGCACCCCGCACTGCGCGATCGATCATCTAGATGGCGCCGCAAGTTCGCCGCGGTCCTCCACGCCACAGCGTCGCCACCTATGCCCAGAGTCACCGCGCGCTCCCTCGAGCAGGGCGCGCGGAGCACGGCCTCCTTGCGTGCCCTGTTTCGCGCGCTCGCGGAGCACGCGTTCCTCCTGGCCCTGGCCACGGGGGCACGCGCCCCGTCGGGTGGCCCGCAGGACCTGCGCCTGGTGCGCAGAGGTGCCCTGTCCTCGCCGGTGCAGCGCGCCCCCAGGCGCGCGGGAGGGGCACCGTTCCTGTGCTGCCGGGCGAAGTCTGGGCGCATGGCGACGCATGTGGGCACGGGAGGGCCGGTCAGGGGAGCCTGCCACTGGCACGCGTGGGGAGTGGCGCGGGCATCGGTGGCACGGCAGCCGGCGGCGAACTGTTGTGGGCGTGAGCGCTTCGGCTCCGACCCCCCTCGGAGAGCGGGATCATCATCACCATCATCATCATCATCATCATCATCATCATCATCATCATCATCATCATCATCATCATCATCAACATCATCATCATCATCATCATCATCATCATCATCATCATCATCATCATCATCATCATCATCATCATCATCATCGTTATCATCATTATCATCATCATCATCATCATCGGCATCATCGTCATCATCACCATCACCACCATCACCATGACCATCACCATCATCACCATCCAATTCCCCCCCCCGGCCCCCGAGCGACAACGACAATGACGACGCCCCCTTCCCAGAGCGCAGGCGCGCATCAAGGCGCAGGCGGAGGAGCAGGCGGCGCGCAGCAAGAAGCAGAGCTCCCTGTCGGCCGCAGGAGACGCCGCCGTCGCGACGCCCGCGCGCCTTGCCGCCCTCGCGGGCGTTGTCGTCGCGCCCGCGGACCCCCCGCGCGCCTGTGGCGCTCACCGCCGCGGCGGCGGCGGAGAAAACGGGTGCCGCGGGTTCGCCGCATCGGGAAGGATGGCGAGGGGGGGGCCGGAAGGGGAGCGGGGGGGAAGGGAGGGGAACGCGGAAGGAAAAGGGGGCGGGGGGCGAGAGCGGAGGGAGCGTGGAGGAGGAGGGGTGGGGGGGGTGAGGCGGGGGGCGAGGTCCGAAGGAACCTGGGAGTGCCTGCTTGTTGGCCAGAGCGTCCGTTCGAAAGGCATGCTGCGAAGGGGGCGGGGCAAGGGGAGTTGGAGAGAAGGTGAAGGTGGATGGTCGGGGAGGGGATGTGGAGGCGGGAGGATAGGGGGGGGAGCAGGAAAGGAGTGCTGGGAGGCATGCTAGGAGGAGGAGGGGGGTGAGCTGGGAGGCAGGGGGTGAGGGAAGATGGAGCTCGTGGGAAGCACCAGGGAGGAGGACTGGCAAGCCAGGTGCGCTCGATCCTGCCGACTTGGCATCGCCCAGTGGCAGCTGCAGGATTTGACCCATCTTTTGTTTCGAAATGGGCGTCCAGGGCAGGGAAGGCAGATGGGCAGCCGGACGGGGAGGAAACAGAGGGGAAGCGCAGGAGCAGGAGAGCAGGAAAAGCAGGAGGACTATGGGAAGAGGGCAGGGCGGAGGAGAAGACAGGAGAAGGGCAAGTGCGAGGAAGAATTCGGATCCTGAAGGGCAGGCCGCTCGGAGGCGAGAGCGCCATACTGAACGTCGGGGCGAAAACACCGATCTTGCAATGTGGGCGGCGCTGCGACGGGAACAAATGGTTTGAAGGGCCAAAGGCGTCCCGATTGAGGCCAAAGGCGTCCCGATTGGAACATGAATTCAGGGAAGCAGTAACAAGCATTGAAATCCGGAGTGCGGGAACGGTGGTGTAGAGACCAGGGTGCACAACTGTGCCAAGCGGGTCAGCGCTGAGGTGGGAGAAGGGATGCAGGAGGGTCTGAAGGGGAATGGTGGATGACAGAGGAGAGGTGGGGAGGAGGGATGGGGAGGAGGGCGATGAAGGAGGAGGAGGAGGACGAGGAGAAGGAGGAGGAAAGAGCAGAAGGGAGTGAGGCAGAAGATGAGGAGGAGAAGGAGGAGGAGAAGGATGAGGAGGAGGAGGAGGAGGAGGAGGAGGAGGAGGAGGAGGAGAGAAAGGGACGAGAGACGGACGACGACGCCGACAACGGTCCAGCTCCCCGTGGCCTGTCAGGCCCCTCTGTGTCAGTCCCCGTCGTGCGCCGCCGCAACCCCTCGTCGTCGCAGCCGCCGCTCGCGTCGTCGTCTTCGTCACCGTTGTCTCTGCGGTGTCGTCGCAGCCGTCGCCGTCGTCGCCGTCCTCGTCTCACACGCCGTCGTCGCCAGAGAGGGCTCACAAGGTGAAGAAGGAGCAAGAAGAAGGGGAGTTGGAGGGGAGGGGTCACGAGGAGGCCCTAGCGTGCTCGAGGACGGGGTGGGCGAGGAGAACGCCGACACTCAGGACGAGGGGGATCAGGAAAAGGAGGAGGACTGGGGAGTGCGGAGGTGGGCGGAGGAGGGTGACGGAGGGCGAAGGGGGCGGCGGAAGAGACAGATGGAGGAGCGATGGCGAGGATGAGGAGTGGAGAGAGGAGGAAGGGGTGGAAGGAGAAGCAGGAGGACGACGACGAGGTTGACGAGGCGGAGGAGATGGGGGACTGACGCGCTGCGGCCCGAGCTGAAAGAGGCAGGAGGTGCGGGGCTCCAAGAAGAGACGTCCAAGACAACCAAGCATTGTTCCGTGATGGGGCATTAGCCTTTGCTTTCCTATCCCTGCCTGGCTCAGATTCCTCCATCGACGCGAGCCCCTTCTCCCCCCGGGGGGGCAGGATACGCAGGAGGATGAGAAGTAGGAGACTGATGGGGAGGGGGAGTACGGTAACCTAAAGGCGATGAGCAGGAGGAAGAGAACGGATGACAAAGGACTCATGAAGAAGGGAGAGCAAAGGAGGAGGAGAAGAAAGAGGAGGATGAAGAGGAGAAGGGCGACATACAAAGTCAATGATAAGTCTGAAAAAAAGATCATGGCATGATGAAGAGGGAAAGGTTGAGTGGAAGTGGAAGTGATGGAGGAGGACATGAGGAGGAAAGTACATGATGAGGGGGAGGATTTGGAGGAGCTGCAGGAGGCTGGGACGACGATGGAGACGACGACATTCATGCCATCGGCGACGACGACGACGACGACGACGACGACGACGACGACGACGACGACGACGACGACGACGGGGGATCTGCCACCAATTGCCGCAAACAACGGAAATGGGGAGGGTTGCACAATTAGGAGGGGGATCTGCTGGTCGAGGGCGGAGTATGTGGAGGATTAGTTGGATGAGCTTGGTGGGACGACAACGGCGACATCGACGACACCGACGACGACGACGGTGCCGTCTTCGATGACGGCCTACAGCAAGATGCGCCCGCCAGGAAGCCAGTCCCTCGGGAACCTGCAGCGGCCTGCCAGCCGACCGTGAAGTACACTCGACGACCTTCCCTAGATTGCCCGCCCTCTGCTTCAAATCTAGTGCGGGAGTTTTCTCGGCTGCGCGCCCTTCCGCAACGCGAAGGGCAGCACGCCAGCTCCCAGTAGGTCTGCCACTCGACATAGATGGAACCCTTTTCGGCTCCTGCTTTGCAGAGCTTCTTCCGCACCACCGTGCTGCCATAGCCTCCCCGCAATTACCCATCGGTCAGATTCCAATCTACTTTAGCCGCCCTCCTACTTCGAGAGTCGAGCGGTTGTTCCTCTTCCCTTCTCTACAGGAGGCGGGCGGAAACCCAAGCTACTTCCAACGCCTTCCTACTTCATGGTTCTACATACTTCTTCCGACCGATAGGTATGTCTGCAGCGGTGCGTCTCTTGGCACCTCCAACGAGGCAACCAGGAGCGCTCTGAGCAGGTCCCGTTCTGCTCCTCCCTGCCCACCATGCCCGGACATCCTCCGATGTGAGTCGTTTCAGTGCGCGGCCCCAGAGTTCCCGACCCTTTGCTGGGTGGCAGTGTTGCGTCGCAGGTCCTTTCGTGGTGGTCTGATGCTGATGTTGTGTTTGCTCTCGATTATGAAGATGATGATGCTGATGCTGATGATGATGATGATGATGATGATGCTGCTGATGATGATGTTGATGAGGGGGATGCGGCCGCTGCTGATGCTGATGCTGATGATGATGCGGATGAGGATGATGATGCTGTTGTTGGGGATGGTGATGAGGATGGTGGCGATGGTAGTATGGTCATGCTCACGATTAGCATACTACTGATGCCCCTGACGATTGCGATAACGACGATGGCGATGGTGCTGCTGCTCATGATGATGATTATTCTGAAAGTGATGATGGTGCTGGCGATGATGATCATGATGATTCAGATGATGATGTTGGTGATCATGATGGTGACGACGTCGTCGACGACGACGATGATGATGATGCTGTTGCTGGTTGTAAGGATGATTATGATGATGCTGGTGATGTTGATGACGACGACGCTGATGCTGCTGCTGGTCCTGATGATGAGGGTGGTGGTGGTAATGATGATACTGATGATAATGCTGATGGTGATGAAGATGAAGAAGGTGGTGGTAATGATGCTGATGCTGAGATTGTTGTTGGTGGTGGTGGTGGTGATGATGATGATGATGCTGATGCTGATGCTGATGATGATGATGATGATGATGATGATGATGATGATGATGATGATGATGATGATGATGATGATGATGATGATGATGATGATGATTGGTGATCCTGGAGCCTGATAACAGGCCCTTGAGGCCGACATCGAGGAAGCGCCCGCATTGAAAAGACGAATCTCGTCGGATGTCTGGGTGTCCACTGGTCCAGCGCCGCTGCCAGGCACCGCCCGAGGCGAGGCTCTCTGGGCCATCCTCCTGGCGACTGGACCCGCGGGCCCGCGGCCACTCGGCTCTCCAGGGCTCCGGCGGCGAGACGGGCGCCAGGCCCGTCCCTCTTTTGGCGTCGGCGAAGACGTAGGCCTCCCAGATGGGGTCGGAGTCAATAGGGCCGCAGGGTCGCGCCGCATCGCCGCTGCGCCGGCGATGCGGCTCTATGTGTCAAGCAGTGGCGAAGCGTCCTGGCTCGCCTATAGCTCAACAAACAATGTTCTAAGAACCTTTTGTGGTTTCCACGAACCTTTTGGTTTAACACATCGGGTTTATGTTCTAAGTACATTTTTGGTTATTAGAACATTTTTGGGTTCTAAGAAGATTTCGTGGTAGGACTATAGGAATGCCGGGACGGTCGGTCCCTGCTCAAATGTGGAGCTTGATGTGTTCCTATGCCGACGTCGCCGAGGCATCAACGGCGTCGCCGGTGCATCGGTGATGCGTCGGCGATGCGTCGTGATCCTCTTGCCCCCTCTGCTGAGACCCCACTTGGGTGGCCTCTGGGCACCCTCTGATCCGGTCTGCCCGCGGGCAGGTGAAATGCCCCCCCTCGTGCTCTCGAGGCTCGGAGAACAAAAGAGACGGCGTAATGGAGGATGACGATTAATAAATGACCGGGGGTCGTGTTCACGCGGCGGCGCCCAAGGTGACGATTGGAAAAAACCGGCCGCGGGCTGGAAAACTATTTGTTATCCGTTTGTCTCCAGTCAGAAAACTGTGCAGCAATAGCAGACAACTACTTTTTTAATCGTTCTCCCCCATTTTTTAATTAATCGTCATCCCGCATTCGACATGAGCTTTCGGTGGTCGGCGCGGGTTTCTCGGATCCGCGCTGAAGCCCCCGCCACTTCCCTGGCGCGCGGGGGGCGCCAGGGGCAGCGCCGGAGACGCCGCCAGGGGGGCCGGGTGCCCATCCAGGGAAGCCTCGCGAGCCTCCGGATGTTCGTGTTTGTGCCATCGTGCCTTCTCTCCAGGAATGACTTGTTATGCTGTTCCGTCGCCGTCTCAGGACTATGCTGACCACCTTGGCGACCGTGTCATCTCGTCTCGTCTTTGCGTCCCAGCTCCCGTCCCTGTCTCTCTCTCTCTCTCTATCTGTCTGACTTCTCCTTCTCTTTCCTTCCTTCTCTCTCTCTCTCTCTCTGTCTCTATCGCAGGTGAGGGGGTGAGATTCCAGGTGAAAAAGAGAGCCCACCACCGCGAAATCGGTTTCGGGTTCTCGTGTTCGTGTCGTGCGTGCGGGCGAGGCGAAGCTGCGTGGTTGCGGGCGAAAGGGCGGAACCCTCCGCTGACGAGGGCGTGCCAAGGCCAAGAGAGCTGGCCAGGGGTGGCCGGGCGTGTCCCGCCGCGGTGGCCCAATGGTGTCCCGCTGGTGTCCTGAAGTGCCCCGCGGTGTCCCGTGGTGCCCTGTGGTGTCCCATGTCCTGTGAGATCGATAGTGAGACCGATCGTGAGATCGACAGCGAGATCGATGGTAAGATCGATGGTGAGATCGGTAGTGAGATGGATCATAGTATCGGTAGTGAGATCGATACTGGGATCGATAGATAGGTCGATTGTGTTATCGCTAGTGGGATCGATCGTGAGAGGGACCGTGGGATCGATCGTGAGGTCGATAGTGAGGTCGATTGTGAGATTGATCGTGAGGCCGACAGTGAGATCGATCTAGTGAGATCGGTTGTGAGACCGATCGTGAGATTGACGGTGAGATCGATTGAGCGAGACGTTCTCCCCCCCCCTCCGAACCGCCTTCTTGCTCGAAGGGTTATCGTATAGGTAGCTGTCGGAGGCGAGAGGGTGAGATCGCATTGGCACGGAGAGTCCACCACCGGGCAATCGCTTTCGGTTCCATGCTCGTGTCGTGCGTGCGGGCCTGGCGAAGCTGCGGGGTCACGGGCGAACGTAGGGAACCATCATCTGGCTAGGGCGTCGCCGAGGCCAAAAGACCTCCCCAACCGTGCCACCCCCCCTGGGTGCTCCGGCGGTGGCCAGGGGTGTCCCACCAGTATCCCGTCGGTGTCCCGGGTGTCCCGCCGGTGTTCCGTCGGATTCCCGTCGGTGCCCCGTCGGTCTCACGTAGTGGGATCGATAGTGAGACAGATCGTGAGACCGATGGTGGGATCGGCAGCGAGATCGATAGCGAAATGGATAGTGAGGCCAGTAGTGGGATGGATAGTGAGATCGATAGTAAGATCGCCAGTCAGTTCGGTAGTAGGATCGATGGTGAATTCGGTAGTAGGGTCGATAGTGAGATTGATCGCGAGATCGATACTGAGATCGGTTGTGATATCGATAGTGACATCGATTGAGTGAGACGCTGGTTCCTCTCCCCGCCCAGACCGCCTTATCACCCGAAGGGTGGTTAAAAAGGTATATCGGAGGCAAAGGGGTGAGATCGCAGTGAAAACGGAGAGCACCCCCCCACCAGGAAACCGCTTTGGGTTTCGTGCCGCGCGTGCGTGCGATGCGAGAGGAATGACCTCGCACGGGCTGAGGCGAAACCGGGCTTTATGCTTATCCACCCCCCAGTTGGCCGTCGGTTGCCCGGAGGCGTCCCGCCCGTGACCCGTGGTGTCACGTGGTGTCCCGTGGTGTCCCATGGCGCGGTGTCCCGTGGTGGCCCGTGGAGATCGATAGTCAGATCGATGGTGAGATAGATTGTCAGATCGATTGTGTCAGGTCGATACAGCAAAATCGGTAGTGAGATCGAGTGTAAGATCGATATTGAGATCTACGGTGAGGTCGACAGATAGTGAGATCGATGCGATGTCTCGTGGTGTCCCGTGGCGCGGTGTCCCGCGCTGTCCCGTTCTGGCCCGTGGAGGCCGATTGTGAGAACGATCGTGAGATCGAAAGTGATAGATAGTGAGATCGATTTTGAGATCGATACTTAGATTGATTGCGAGACCTATAGACAGACCGATATTGAGATCGATAGACATGTAGTGGACGGATGGACCACAACGGTGTCCCGATGGTGTTCCCATGGTGTTCCCATGGTGTCCCGACGGTGTCCCGACGGTGTCCCGATTGTTACATGCATTTGTTCCCAGGGCATCCCGATGGTGTCCCATCGCAGTCAGTTTCCCCAGAAAACGTTCTTGTCACCCGAAAGGTGGTCGTATCTATATGCATGTATGTATATATATATATATGTATGTCGATATGGCTGCATTTCCCAAACAGTGCTTGCACATAGGGTTACTTACTTCTGGTCTAAGGAGCTGAGCCTGCGTGTCGGTCTGGTGGCTCAGTGCCGGCCGTCACCGCCCCGCCTCGTCGCCGCCAGTCGTCGTTCCTTCGCCGTCGCCGTCGCGTTGAGTTGTTTTGCGTTGCATTGTTTTGCGTTGCACTTCGTTTTTCTGCATCGCTTTGCATTGCAAAGCAAAGCATTAAGCATTGGATTGCCTGGCCGTGCGTTGCGTTGTTTTGTTTTGCATTGCTTTGCGCTGCTTCGCCGTCACATTGCTACGCTGAGCTTAGCATTTGTCTGTGTTGCCATTGTATTGCTTTGCATTGCTCTTCGTCGCGCTGCAATGCTTTCCATCACATGGCCGCCAGACCGAAGACAC